ACAATTGTTAAATACCTTACGTAGTACTTTATTACAAGTCATAACAAATTATATGTTTCGGATAAATTTATTGAAATGTTAAATTAATGGTATGCTTATTAAGTTTTTAACTATACACACATTATAATTAAGCCATGATAAGGTATACGAGACGCTTTTGAAATTTGAAAACTTGATAACTTACAATTGTTTCTTCACTGTTGACAACGTAAGTTTTTCGAGCTAATGTTTATGTATCTGAAAAGAAAAACAATTTTATTGATGAAAACAATTATTTATAACAAATTAATATGACATATTGCTCACAAAATTGGGGTTTCATATTGTTCTGTCATCAGTTTTGAAAAGCAATATAATTTGTTAATATTTTGATTACAAAAATAACACTAAAAATAAAGTTCAATTGTTTGACACTTTTTTTTATAATTTTATGCTTTAGGTAAAAATTTCGCAAAAAACTAACTATGTATAACTTCAAATTTTGACTTATTCCCATTTAGTCAATTTTAAAAAGAGAAAAAACTTTTTTAAACAAAAATTGTTAGAAAAAAAAAATAATCTATCCGAACACGTAGAAAAAAATAAGGTTGCCATTGAAAAAAAAAGTAAGTTGTATTACGTATGCGTGTACCATAAGGGTTAAAAATGGGAAAAATTGTCGAAAAATGAGTATTTCAGTATCCTCTAAGCCCTTAGAAATATTAATTTCAATACAAGATTATCTAGCTGAGATATTTAGTGGTACCTGAATTCTCTACCATACTGAATATTACATCATATGTAATACATATCCATTCAAAGAATATTTGATGATGTAAAAGTGAACAACATTTTTGGCATGGGCACTCGGCTGAATTTTATCATCTCAGCGTACGGCATAATGGTGTTATACTGGTGGTTTATTATTTAAAACTCGAGCAAGGTGACTGTACCATTCAAAAAATATATTATTTACATTTAAGATCATTTGTTAAAAGCATTTGTCGAAAGTAACCATTTTTCACTTTTAGGAGTATTTAATCCAATCGGATTATTTTAAACAATTTTATGAAAACTTAAGTAACATCAAATTTCAAACAATATTGATTAATGTTTATGTTAGACTCTAAGTGGCAACCAGAAAGCTATTAATTTTACAATAACTCATTTCATTTTTTATTTCGTTCGGTAAACCGTTTTTCGAACCTTAAAATTAATAATTATTGTTACGTTTATAAATTAATTAATAATTTGAACATAAAATTTTCATTTATGAAATCTTGTAGGTATTTACTTTCTCGGTATTTACTTTTTCGGTTATGCTTACTTAAAAAACTTATTAAAAATGAGTGAGATATTAAAAACAAGTGAATAGTGTATATCATAAATAATTTATGATAATTATTGTTTATTAATTAATAATTATTATTATTATTATTATTATTATTACTATTTATTTATTAATTATATTTATTTAATTATTAATCTGACATCATTATCATTTGTAGCTCTACATGATTATGTATGCAATGTCAGAAATAAAAATGGTGATGATATATTTAATTAAATCTGTAATTAAAATTTAATCACGCATGAATACGAGTGCAATATTTATAATTTGGAATATATAATGGAAAATTATATTTTGCATTAATTAAACTCATAAGTATGACAAGCAATAACTTTATAATAGTATTATATGCATTAAACACATTAAATGTTTTAACGAGTTAATTGAGTTATTCGTTATCTTCTTCATCATATAATTCGTGTCAGATAATACGTTTTACATCCATTTATCGTTCGCAACAACTTTGGAAATTATTTGCGTAGTAGACAAATAAAGAATCAGCTACGAATACGTCAGAAAATAGATACTTTTGAGTTAAATTTTTCGAAATTCAAATTAATCTGTATCTGATCCTGTACATTAAAATCAGCTGACATTACATTATAATTTTTTAAATATAATAATACTCCTTTTCAAAATACAACTTATTGAATTCCAAAATTTATTATCCTGAAATACTTAAATAAATTAATGAAAACGATGCAAACATAACTTCACGTCTAAATTCTATGTTCCTACTAGCAAACATAACTATGGTCTATTCACACTGGTAAACCTAATGTTAACTCTGGGGATATAAACTTAAGTATTATTTTTTCTTTCATTTTTTCTAAGAGTTGAATCATTATGTTAACAAATATACATTTTTATAGTTTATATTTATAAATTTCGTCAAAAATTTAATCTTTTTGATTTATATTTGATACATCTAATTATCACCTTAAATATTTTATTTTATTTTGTTCCTATAATCTAACTCTATTTTGTAAACTGAAATAATTAATCATGTGCTTATCAACTATGTATTCTATGCCCACCGAGCGTCAATGAATAAATATAAAAATATAATAAAAATAAATAAATAAATTTGAAAATTTTAATTAACTCCCCCTGGCCGTACAACGAAGATAATCAAATCGTATCGAGCTGTCATGAATGTCATTAAAGTGTTATTCAACTCCTTTTTTGAAGGTAGAAACCTACAAAACTACAAACCTACATCATGGTAGACATACACTAATTCCACGATTCTACTCCATATATCGACTAAGTGAATTCGACAGTACCTACTGCTTAAGAAACCAATGAGATTGAATGTTGTGAAAGAATAATATTGCGAGCAAATAAAAATATAAAAATATGATCACTGTAAGAACATATTTATCAACAATTATCTTGAATCCACATAGCAGGTTTATGTATATAATCATAATCATATATAATCACATGGTCTTAATGAAGTTAGCTCAACAATTTTATGCCACCTGATTAAAATCGATGTAGTCTACATACAGTGTAGCATGACATACTTAAACATTTTATAAAACTTGCAAACAGAAATAAGTAACAGAAAAATAATAACTTAATATCAGCGACACTTATTGCATGTGCCACCAACAGAATGAAAAAGTTGACTAGAAAATTGAGGGTCCTAATAAAAAATAAATATATTTTCAAATAAAAATTATATTTTTTGTTAATTATTTTTCAATTATCCACCACCTGTAACATATTCTGTAATTTTTAAAAATTATTTTATGAACGTGGACATGCATATGATTGGAACATTTTAAAAGCTGATTTGCTTTAACATATGATGTTGACATATAAAAATAATGGGGCTAATTTCGAAAACCTATTTCCTTGTTGCTTTTATAGTAGATAGTGGAAAAATACCAAAATCAAAAACCGTATAGACTTCGATCACAGATTATTTTAAGTATGATATGTAATGATAAAATTATAGTGTCATATACATGAAACTTCTGCGATACCAAATAAAAAACGCGAGTTTAAAAGTTGAAGAGAGAAATAGAAAGAGTGAGAGAGAGAGAGAGAGAGAGAGGAATCCTGAAGAGCACAGGAATATTAGTTCTTTAAATGTATTATAGTACAACATCTTTATTTTTATACTAAATATTACATATCGGTATCTTAAATACATTTTAAGACACCGCATTAATCATTAATTTAATTAAATAACAAATTATGAGGGTGTTGCAAATGGGCTTTTCTCCCCAATCATATTACTCATGTATTCTTCGATGATATTTACTTATTATTATGTATTGTAAAGATTATAAATTTATTTTAACAAAAAAAAAAAAAAAATACAAAAAAAGTCACCACAGGTTCAACAGCATGTACATTATAACGTAACAAAAATATTCTGAAAACCTTTGTTAAATCCTTAACTGCGGGTCTCTCAATTACATTATTTTTTCTTGCATAGAAGTATACGGCTACAACTCGTTTGCATACATTTAATTTTTTTTACAACTCAATTGCACAAAAATGCACAACTCGATTGCGTACATGTATTTTAACTACTTATGACGAAAATCCCTAGTGTCAGAACAGATTTGCTTATTATCGTTGATTATTAACAATAATCAATAATAACAACTTAAAATTTAATATGGACGTAGAAATTTCTAATATTTTTGAATCTCGGCGAGAAAAATGATGTTTTAATATAGATAATTATAAATTTACTGGATATCATGTTTTAATGAATGGATGTTCAAATTTTAGATGCACTAATAAAAAATGTTCTGTGACCAACTATAATAATCACAAGGAGTATAATAAATTATTATTATCCATTTATTATTAATCCATATTAAAGTTTAAGTCGTCAACACACTAGTCATCACTCTATCGTCCATATCCATAGTCCATACCTACTGAAACTTTACTAAAAGTTGTTTGAAAAATTCAAATTTATATAATCTACAGTCTACACAGTCGATTATAAGATAATATTAAGATAAATATATTTGATAATTTGTACTGCAGTCTGTGACGATATATGTATACACGTGTTATGTGTGTGAATGTGTCGTTATACGCAAACGAGTCGTCGATTTTCAGGTAAAAAATTTTGAATGTGCGCAAACGAGTTGCAGCGGATGTATTTTCTGTATACGATTCTAATCGGAAAATATCATTCTATATATAGGTTTCGGGATCGGTTTTCCAAAAAGAATGCGATTTCGTCATCCTACCCGAACTTCGTCATCGAGTTCTAAAAAACGTTTCCCTGCGAACCAATGTCTTGTGGTAGTGAAGCGTGCATATATTTTTAGACGTGACACTTTCCCGCATGCGGCAGCGCAATTAGTCATTCCACCGCAGCCAACTCTACACGCATGCTTGTGCGCACGCGCGCTAATACACACAAACACACACACACACACACACACACACACACACACACACACACACACACACACACACACACACACACACACACACACACACACACACACACGCACACACAGAATACCAATGAGACAACAAGCTCATGAGTGCGTGTGCGTATGCCTAGTACGCTCATCTATGTTAGGAACCACCTCTGCAATTTAAAAACCACTTGGAAAGAGAGAGAGAGAATAGAAATATTTAAAGGAATGGAAAAAAACTACGTCTCGTTCAGTCCGATACAAACGAACCCTTTGGTTTGTACAGCAGTACGACTGCGACCATTGACCGGCCGTCAGACATTGTTAATATGTCCGACCCGCAGTGCGGTATGAAAAACCGTCACCGCCGCAGACCCTGTGCGAAATAAGTGCGTTCGCCGTCGCGCGTTGACAATCACATTTCACACACGCCGCGCGCGTAGGTTACACCCGGCCCGCGCACGGACAACAAACCTTCCTGGTTCCTGTCCACCGTGCCCCACACGGCCTTTTCTTCTTCGCGTTTCCATTAGACACAGTGGCCACGGGATAATATTATCATGCACGGTAAGTGTGACTACGCAAACTACGGCGTTGGAAAAGGTTTTCGTTTTCCTCCCCACCCCCCACCTACCCCACCGTTTACAACATCACCGTCGAACTTTTCCGACGGATTTCAAGCGTTCAATTTTTATTTATTTTTTTTTTTTAATCAATTTTCTAAAATTAACACGGAATTTCGACGGAAAAAAGGAATTCAACGCTCGCTATCGTAGTGTCTGCATCGTATTTTTATACGTCGTTTTAGACGCCATTATACAGTATTATTATTATATTCCCTCGTCACGTAAGATTATACCTGCCACCGTAACCACACCAAACACTACACGGCGTTAACGTGTAAACGTCTCACACGCCGAACGGTGTTCACTAAGCAAACAAAATATAACGGGTTAGTCGAATTGCACTTATTACCTACAAATAAATGGTCAAATTGCACTTGGATTGAAAAAAGGTAATGGTCGAACTGCATTCGTTCAAAAAAAGAGTTATAATGGAAAACCCTCTAAAAATATTATGAATCTTTCTGTTAAAGAACTCTACAGCGTACTTATTTAATAGCATTATGTATTAGTTCGTGCCATTTAGCTAACGCAGATAATATTATATAATAATAACATATATACTCAGAAGCGTATTACCAGGGTAGAATTTTTGAATACAGTTAGTCATTAGTACAAAAAATTATAATAATGACAATAATTAAATTTGACGATTAAAAAAAAAAAGTGTATACCTAATAATAATATAATGTATAATATAACAATTATAAAGTAAATATATATAATTAACATATAATAATGTGATGTATAAAATAATAATTATTAACCACGCTAATGATTACTTAATTAAATTAAATGTAACTAAATAAAATAAATCTAACCCCTTCAAATGCATGATAATTTTATTGAAATACTTTTTTGAGCCCAGGTGCAGTTCGACCACTACCTGCTTTTTACCCGAGTGCAGTTCGATCATTACCTTTTTTGAACCCAAGTACAATTCGACTAAAGTAAGTGCAGTTCGACTATTCCCAAATATAGTTTTCACATGATTTCCCATAACGTACATAACGAGATGTTGCTCGACGGTTGTTCTTGGTGTACGCGAGTTACGCATTGTATAACAGTATTAAAATATTCTTTGAACGATTGGAGTTCAATGTCAAATAAAATAATGCATAATCGTTCGCAAAATAAAAGAAAATATCTAGTTAATATTATTATATTGTACGATTATTGAAGACAATCAAAAATGTGATTTCGCTGTAGGTACATTTACGAATGAAAAATATTATTTTTAATCCATATTACTAAACTGGAAATTTGGAATTGTTTTAGTTTCCAATCTATTTCGATCATATCTGAAGTGAATGCAATCAATATAATAATTGATCGTCAACTATACTTATAATTTAAGTTGTTGACATTAAATAGAAATATTGAATAAAATATTTTTAATTTACTATGGTAAGATTATTTAAATTAAAATGTTCTCAATATGATTTTAAAACTATTCAGGGTACTTCGACAATTCATATAAATATTTCAAAACATTGTTTCATAATTAAGATATAAATTAAAAACCTATCGATATTTAAGTGTTAAATTTTTATTTTCTAGCCATATAGCATAAATATCATTAGAATTAACTAATTATTTATAGTAAAACAAATTTAAATTAATAAATGGTTAATACTAGTAAATTAATAGTTTATATATAGAAATAAATAAATAAATGCTTAACCTGAAGTTTTAATATATTTATAATAATTGACAGGTTTCAAATTCAAATTTATCATCAGGTACGAGTATATACAAAGTTAATAAAATTTAAAAATAAATTCACGATTCTATTGACTTTGTATGTAAATAACTGATGATGAATTTTTAATTCGAAACTGATCGCATATTACAAATATAAAAATACTTCAGCATAAGCATTTTTGATTAATTTATTTCAATATGTAAACTATTTAATTATTTTTATCATTTAGGCACATACGTCGAAATTACTATATCTGATTCGTTTATAGTTGCATAATTAATGAAAATTTATTTTTATTTTTCTTAAAATTGTTTAATACTTTAATGATATTATTTATATTATAGGTTAAATGCTAAGTTTACTTTACTAAATTTTTTCGGTTATTTCATAAGGATTATAAATACATCAAAACTTTTTAACCGTTTTAATTATTTAAGGATACACCTGATATAAACGTAATAATTTAATTAAACTTCAAATATTTTTGGTTTTTTTTAACTTACAATTTTTTAAATGTACACCAAAGTTAATGTACTGTTAGAACTATATTACTTTTTAATTTTTCAATCAATTTTTACGTAAAAGAAACTATCACTTAATGTAATGTGTTCAGCCTACGCATTAAATAAATACCAGTTATTTGATTTGTACAAGTCTTGTAACTAAATTGTCCAAAATTAAAAAATACTCGTCATAAATAAAATTATCTATTTATCCATGAAACTTGTTTTTTAAAAGTTGTATGCTTGTTTTTTTACTATCAAACTCCATAAAAATATACATTTACTAACTACAAATTTAAAAATTTAATCCTCACTTTTACAACAAAATAACTTTTCATAGTCAACATTTTAAAAATTAGTCACAGCTCTTCTACGTTTTATGAATGTTAATTAAAGTTAAATTATCCGATTATACCATGTCGGAATATGTCAAAATAATAAAATATATATTTTGATTGCTCTAAAACATTTTTCTCTTGACCAAAGGAAATTATGGATACCTACAAGTAATTGATTAAAAAAAAGTTGTCATAATAATTCATGCATGTCAACTTTCAAAAAATTTCATGATTTTTAAGTTATTGGATGACTACCAACATTTTTTATAGTTTATACTTAGATCATTTTAGGATGGATATGTTATAACGAATTGAATAAGGATAATAAAAAATATCACTATATTTAAAAATTCTACATAAACATAATAATGTGTGACAAAAATAAGATGACAAATCTGTTCAATAATGCACATTTAAAAAAAAAAGAAAAAATTTTAAGTTACGCTAGTCAAAAAAAAAAAAAATAAAAAAAAAATACTTATCATAATTACTATAATTATAAATGAACCCATTCATTTTTCCTAAACAGTTATATTAAAAAATATGCTAGATTTATGTTACATAACCGAAATAAAAAAAAATAATAACGTACATTTTTGGATCATTGGTTGTGCATAGTACATAAAATAATTCGCTTTATTTATCCTAAGCAAAAATAAATCTCCGAATTTTTTTTATTACATTCTTGTTGACGACTTCAAATTTTCCAAATTTTTTGTAGACAAACGGTTAATAAATATACACACTACACATGAACAAAGTTTCTCTATTATATCTGAAATAATATTCACAAAATATAATATAATAAATTAATTGTTATCGAAAATTAAATTAGATAGAAAATAAATAAAAAATTAACTAAATTATTATTTTTTTTAATCTAAATGTCCATTTGACAAAAATATGTCCTAAATGGATCCTTAATAATTTACAGCTTACAGTTGACTACCGTGAATAATTTTATAACTTAATCGTAAAATATAAGTATTAATAATTTAAAAAATATATGTATAAACGGTAAAATACCAATAAAAAGTGATGTGTGTGATTATAGCATGAAAGCATGAAAACGTCAACAATGACACTTATAGTTTGTATGTATTTTTTAAACCATTATGCGTATATTACATATTCGATGTATGATGTTTTAACTAAAATGATAACAATTTGCCTAACAAACGGTGGAGGTGAATTATTTTATTACCATTTTTAAATAGTTCACACGACGACATTATTATTGTACGTTCATTTATAGCTTTTCGCAACATTAAAATTGATTTATGAGAAATTTTCGAGAGTGGTGTGAAATGAATATCCAAACCCAAACATATTATATCATCAACGAAAATTTATTATTATTGAAAATAGAGTGTTTAAAAGAACTGAAAAATAAAGTAGTATGAAACGGCATCCCTTTATTATTTTAATTTAATGAAAATTTGAAAATTAAATATATTTAAATTGAAATTATATATGAAAATGAATTGATTTTTTTCCATTCTGGCATACAATCTTAAAACAAATACCATCGAAAAAAAGGAACTTTTCTTTTGTTTCCAAATGATTCCGTTTAGACAAATATCACTACACAGATGTAGCCCATTTCGCCTAGGTACCCGTTTCGCTCAGACTAGTTTAAATCAATTTAAAATTAAGTTGACAATTATTATTTTAAATTATATAATATTGTAATATTTGAGTATCATTTAGCGTATTATTTTTTTTCTTAATCATAGTAGTAAATAAACAAGTATTTTGCTCGTTTTATTCCAACTTAAAGATGATGAAGAATAAGTTTAGCGTATCGGCAATAGTGGTTTTTTGTAATGCAGCGACAGCATTAAGCGCATTTGTTTATTATCAATAACGTGTTTGACAGTTACTTATAAATAACATATAACATATAATAAAGGATTTAAAATTTACAGTTAAACTTAAGTTAAAATCACAAAAGGGGTGGCAAGTTTTAATTTATATATATTTTTTTTCCGTTGTTTCCACTCGATTTTTTTTTTTTTTTTTTATCTGCTTCATCTATTCAGATTTTAATAAATATTTAATGATTATCATTTGGTAAAATATAATTGGAAATTGCGTATGGAAAAAAAACATTCCAAAAGTATTCATCGGCTAGTTGAAATTAAATTGAAAGTTTACCTACCTAAAATAAAAACAGCACTCGATTTCGGGCAGAAAAAAAACCGCGGCCGTTTCTTAAATATAACTGTGTACACAATAGCGCTGGTGAGATCAAAACTATACGCTGAAAGGCATTTTTTTTTTTTCGAAATTCCTGACCCGTCACTATTATTGTGTTGGAAAACATAATTCTTAATCGAACAATTCGGGTGGAGTGAAACACTTTGTGTATTTTACAGGGCCCAGAGCAGAGTTACAACAGGACGATGGGCAACGTCAGGCAGCTGACGCGCATCAACTGGATGTGCCCAAACCACCGATACGCCGTCTGTCACGGAGTACCATGTCGCTGAAGATTTCACCTGATGTCCCAGCCACACAGCCTCAAATACAGTTCTTCCCGTCCACGCCGGCCGCAGTCGGGCTGACCATTCCCATGACCCCGACCACCGACCCGACCATCCCGAACGGATTTTCGCCCCAACTTTACCAGGCCTACACGTCCAACAAAGCCACCGACTTTTTTTTCAAACAACTGGACGGTAAGCTATAATTACCTACAACTTGAAACAGTGTAACGTATGATATTATTACCCTACTTCAGCGGCAGTGGTATAAATTACAGTGATTAAGTTTTTCATTATGAATATATCGCAGGATAACTATAACGATTGGTAATGCAACGTCTATTTTCGAATACTTTCCATTTGACTAGTGTCGTGACTCTCCTTACGGATTGTTTCATTTTTTTTTATTATTATTATTATTTAAATATCCTGGTACATTATTAATCAATCCAACGGATTTTGTTAATATGTTTAGAACAATTGCATACAATTTACATAATAAATTCCGTTTTAATAACGATTTTTTTTTTCTATAAAATATAATAAAAAATGAATTTATAAAGCTATGTGATTCAACATTTGATCCTTCAACATTTTTGGAAAATAAAGCATGTATTAAATAGCTAATTTTAATTCCTTCCAAATATTTAATAAAAGTTATTTTTAATTTTACCAAAACGTTGAAATTTACTTAGAAAAAATAATGAATTAAATACTTAAAACACGTGAATGTTAAAAAAAATGAATTTGATTACTTGGAGTACCGCTATTACAAAAACTAAATTTTCGAGAAACACTCCATAAAAAAATATTTACCTTGGTAAACTAAAAAGTAATATTTTAATTTATAACATAAGTTGGTAAGTAATAAAAGTAATGTTATTAAACAGTTGGATAAATTACTAGGATGGTAATTATGAAAGCTTGTAAAAATAACAAATCTTTCAAATTTGTTTTCCGTTTTAATTTTTTGTTATTGTAAGTTGCAGTGTAACTTTTGGTAACCGATAGCAGGTTACAATGTCATCAATGATATTTAGTGATTTTCATACTTAAAATAATAACATAGCCCTATAGATAAAAGTATACTTATCAAATATCAATCATGGTTATAGCATGCAGAAAAAAATAACAATAACAGACTACATAATCGAATTACGACGAAAGAACCATAAAAAAAAGATCGCTTTTCGTGTGCTTTTATCGATTTTTTTTTAATATTGTATTTTCGATCGATGCATGTGCGTTTATATCATTAATTATTTCTTTGAAATTACAATTTATAGAAGAAAAACAAATCTATTTGAAAGTATGAAAATTAATCTTAAGCACCCAAAATCTATTTAACAGCCATAATATCTGGAACAAGTAAGTAAAGTGCGTTAAGTAGATAAAGAGACGAACACTTAATATCATTTTATCTTAAAAGTAATTTAAGTGTTTACAAAGTGTTCTTTGTTATATTAAGATATATATAAATTAAAAAAGAAATTTAGATGAACTCGCACCTTTGCGTTTACTCCATTATCTGTATTTTAAATATGTATATCAAATTATCGGTTGTTTTGTTTACAATGTATATAGAATTATGATTCGTTTTATTAGAAGGCTGTCTCGCACGTCTATGTCATCCAAACGAATATTATTCAAGAATTTAATTTTTTCACTTAAAATACTATAACATTTACCTCACCTATTTGCTGTTTTATTCTCAATCGATACTAATGATGATATCATATTGGACTTCATTTTTTCGTGATGATACCGTTGCACATTCATCTCACTCCATGAACCGGGTTGAACATATTTATCCGTCTATTTATATCAGAAATATCATCCACTTCTTCACATTTAAGGATATTGACAAATTAAGACCACCACCTCCAGCGGGTTTACGTGTAAGTCTACTCCTTTACATCTTATCGTCTATCCCAATAATCGTAATAGTTGAGCATTTGATGGAAGCTAAAACCAGCTTTCATACTTTTCGTTTTTACTCTGCGCATACTTTTAGAATCGTTATCAGAAACCTCCATCAATCCACTCCCGGTGCTGTCCTTTCTGCCGCATTGTCAAAAAAACACTTAGTGGAGCAAGTTTACTATGTAAAAAAGTTTACAAAATTACTCCCATCATTCATCTCGCTGCGTCAAATGTGGCGACACTCATAAGTCAGAGAGCTGTACCAAAGATCGCTCCATTCCAACTAAATATATATACATGCTATTGTATATTTATGCAATATGTTTCAATGTATCGTTTTATTTTTAAAACAGTTACTTATTATTTAAATGAAGATTGTCTAAACTATAAACTAATTTATTATTTTTTTTAAAAAAAAAAAGGATTTAAAGATATCGTGTCCACGGCCAAATCGAGATTAAGTTTTGGCGAACGAGCCGTTTTCTGGTTATACGACAAGATCAGGGAATGGTCCAGAATGTGGTTAACCCATTTCTTCCTCCTCTTCATAGCTGCCGGTTATTGTGCAGCTGGAGCGTTGGTGTTTCAAGCAGTTGAATGGACGTCACCAAAAGATCAGATGAACGTAATTCTCGAGAAGAGGGAACTGCTAATTTTTCAAATTGCCGGCGTAAGGATCATTCACTAAAAAAAAAAAATGTTATACACGTTTAAAAATGAATAAAATATGATAATAATAATCACAATAAAAATTAACGGTGTGATTCATCGGAAATAAAAAATTAAAATCTTGATTGCGTCAAAATTATTATTTTATTTAAAAAAAATAATACTTATTTATGTAAGAGCGTCAGATTTTCAATTGCATTGGATAGTATTAGTAAGACTACCCTCTGTCATGTTCTAAAATTATTCATGGCTTGTAATTCCTCAAAAATAAATTTAGAACGCAAATGTTTAACTTAATTAAGTTACCTAACATTAATATTATTAATAAATTAACATCATTAATGTTATTCAAGCATTTTGGCTTTTGTGTGTGAAAAACCATCTTCAAAGATCTATTACTTTTATAATTAAATCTTTCATTTAGATTTCTTTAGTATTTATGGGTTTTAATCAGCCGATTTCGTTTACTGGAAACAGTATATACTAAATAAAGTATGAAAAAACCCCTGAAATAATAAATGTAGTATTACATTTAAGCAAATAAATCAAAAAGTTATTAATTCTAAAAAAAAAAAATAACTACACATGAATCGAAATAACGCATAAACATTTTTCATTATAACAATATTATGTTACCTCTTTGAATATTTAAAATTAACTTATGAACATTGGATATTATGTATACGAAAAACCTACTTTAAATAAAAATATCTCGCGACTCGAACAAAATATTATAGTGGAAGGTGAATGTGAAATTTTACCTTATTTGAAAATGTATTCAACAAATCAAAAAAAGCAGATAAAAATTAATTTTTTAAATAATCTTAACTTTAAATGTATATTTTACATTATCAGTTGTAAGTGTATCTTAAGTAAAAAGCTAAGTATTATTTTAGAATAATTTTAACGAAAGTCACAATGGAATTGTTCAAAAACGTAAATTATAATTTCTGATTACCTATAATTATAATTATAATTCGTAATTTAAATAACAAATACGATTTATTTATAGACTAAATTAACCTCTGAAATATTTTTTAATAATTTACTAACAATAAAATTGAATTAAGTATTATATTTAAATTTAGTTATTTTAGAAGCAATATTCTTTATTTTTTAGTTATCACCATATTATATATAATTTATACTGTCATTATGTTTAAACCCAATTAATTATTTAATAGTTTTATGTAATTGTTTTTACTTATATGTTATTTTTTCTCTATAGTTAATGGGAAAAGTAATCAAGAAAAATGATGCGATGTTCTTAGAAACTGAAAATCTCATTCAGGAATACGAATCCTTTTATGAAAATAATAACATGAAACCGGAATGGAACTATTTAAATGCAGTTTTCTATTGTGGTACTATATTTACAACCATAGGTAAGTTTAAATAATAGCGCAAACAATTTCGCATTTTATGTACGTCTTGGTAAAATCAGCATTGTAAAGTTAATTTATTGATGCTACACGTGTAACCGTATACAGCGTCTATATACAGATATTTGTATGAGGGAAAAAAACCGTAAAATGTTTCATACAAATATATTAATATTTTATATACAGTAAAAAGTTTGCATACACACACATATATATATATATGGGTAATTTTAATACATTTGGCTAATGTCATAATTAGACGGCTGATATCGGTATTATCCATGCATGTTGGCTAATGTGTAATTTTTCGTGTATAAATATGAAATATCAACTCTACACAGGCAATATTACAAAAATTAAATAAGATTTTTTGTTAATATTCAGTATACTAGTGCTCTGCATGGTCCGGTCTTAATCAGTTCGGTCCGGTCTCGTACGGTCCTAACATACAAAAACTATTGAATCATCAGTTTGGTCCGGTTCAATAATTTTTAGGAGTAGTTCGGTCCGGTTTCAAAAAAAAAAAAAAATTAAAATCAGTTCAGTCCGGTCTCAGTCCAATCTCAATCATAGTACTTAATATCTAAATACGGATATTGTTATGTAAACAAATAAAACGAAAAAACCAACAACTTGAGGTATATATTTATTTATAAAGTGATTACTTAAGCCACGCATACACTAGACCTGAACCGGACCGACCGATCTAACCGAAAAATATTCGATCCGAATTTTTTCGTGTATGGTTGCATTGGGTGTCCCCGAATTTTCGTTTTGAACTAAAACAAGTTATTAGCTAAATAGATGATTAAATAATCATATTATATCGTGACTCGTGATAATAACTACAGTTATCCACGTATTATATTTTCTACAATATTTTTTCGACAGTTGACGAATGCAGTACATGGTTTGCAATTGTACTTACTAGTAATATTTTATAAAAATAAAAAAATATAAAATATAATAGTTATAAGAATATAATAATATAGTATAATATATATATATATAATATAATATAATATAATATAGTTATTAGAATATAATAGTTCTTCAGGTGATGAATGGGATTCATTTTTATTAGAGAGCCCCATCTTTAAATCGCGGAAAAGATATTGGGTGCATAAACGTCAAAATCAAGAGCATCTACCTATACATAGAATAGTACCGCTAATTTTCGGCCGAAAAATTCAAAGATGTTTGAACGGTTGAAATCCGAACCTATCCGAATTTCGGTTCGGGCTATCGATTCGGTACAAGTGTATGCACTCACATTTAAAATCGGCATTTTTATTTTTTTTCGGTTCGTGTCTAGTGTATGCGCACAAGTGTATGCACTCACATTTAAAATCGGCATTTTTATTTTTTTTCGGTTCGTGTCTAGTGTATGCGCTAACGCGGCTTTATACTAATTACTAAATGTCTGCTGTCCGTAAATATCATAAGGTGTCAGACGAGAAGGTCAAAGCTCGAAGGACATAATTTTATTTTTATTTATAGAATTCATAAACCATAATACGCAATCTCGGAAAAATAAACATTATACCGAATACTCGTATTATAGCATCTATAGTCCGTTCCAAAAGAGAAGACACGAAGCGGCCACCGGTTTTCGTTTGGCGGCGCATATCCCCCACCCACGACTATTGTGTGTTTCATTTTAATTACGGTGTATACATCGTCGGCAATGATCGGAAATAGACTTCGTAAAGTTCACTGCATAAAACAAAACCAGGTGGAAAGGGAAAATGCGCAGAAACCGTGTCTTCTCTTTTGGAACGAAGTATAATGTGCATGGGCGTAGTATGCATGGGGCTGTGGGGGCTGTAGTCCTCATAGAAATTTCTGTAGCCCCCTCATTTATCTAAAATTAATCAATCTAAATTTTAAATGTTTTTATAATTTTTCCTAAAATTTATCAAGATTTAAATGTTAGCATTGTGTACTGACAATTATTGCGCTACATACATAAAATTACTTATTTTTATCACAAACATGTTTATTTATAGATCAACGTCGTATCAATTTTTTGGATTTACTCTATGCGATCGTCAGGCCATGTATTGTCGCGTTGTCCGATGATAATATTATAACGATAACGGATAATATAACAAATAATAATTTGTATGGAACACACAAATAATAGTTATTTATTTATCGGTATTTTTCTTGAAATTAGTGACTAGTTTGTTCTGTTATTTGCTCGTGTACTACTATCCACACACTAACGTCTGTCTTATATTTTACTATGAACCATATTATTTCATACATTTTTAATTAATTTTGATATCTTAGTTTCTTTTTTTCTTGTTAATCATATTTTTTTTTTAAAAAATATTCAGTATATTTTATATTTTTAGTATATTTCAGTTTATTTGTATAAAGAAGCCTGACAAGAAAACATTATCGCCAACTAGGGACAACGAAGAATTTGCAGTGGATGATCCAAGTCCAATAAATAGTAAAATTAAAATTAATAAATCGTCAATACCTGATGATCTTAACAATAATCAATCCGAGCATTCTGTAATTGCATCAAATGACTCATTTCTGCTAGACTTAAGGAACTTGGAAACAGGACTAACTCAAATTAAACTAAATGTAGGTACTAGAGGTGGGCAAAAAACATAGATGTTTTTAAGACTTCAATCTTAAGTGCGATACATCGATGTTTCACTATCAATGTTTAGTCTTTGATATATCGAAGAATATAAATCTATGTGTTATCGATGTTTTGAAATTTTATAATTAGTTTTTCCCTAAAATTATTTGTATTACAATTTTTCCTCGTATCAAAAGTTGTCAGTTGTCACAAATGTTTGTATGTTTATTCAGTGCATTTTTTAAACGTGTTAACTAGGTGACACAAATGTCGCCCAGTGACAATATTGTCACTTAGTTGATAGTGTTTTGAAAAATTGGGCAAAACACAATTAACTGTTGAAAAAGATATGTTGAAGCCGCACATGCTTAGCACCGCCGGCACTCGTGCCACATGATTCGCCTGTCCAAGGGGCTTGATATCGATCCATCCCGATCCCTCCGCCCCCGACTATCACAGTATGGCCTCGAATCTTATCGATTATCGTGCGCGACGACATCGATGGGGGCGTACAGTGGTGACTCGCCACTTTTCATTTTTCAATTAATTTTTCTTCTTTTTTTTTGTCTTTTACTTTCTTTCTTCGCGTCATGGTGCCGCCTTGACCTGTGTACGTTTTTTAACTTGCGGTCGCATTTTGTTTTTCTGCTAATTAACGTGTGCGTGCCTTCGCCGTCGCTGTTCAAAACGGCGGTATGTTCGTGTTGTTGCCCGGCTCATGTGTGCTGTTTCATCATTGCTTGTCTGCAACTCCCATCTCATTGTGTCAAGAATGATGTCCATAATTTACATCGATGGGTGATAGTCAAATCGCTAATTATTATTATCATTGTGAAAAGTTTATGATCAGCGAATGAGCTTCTAGATATATATATTATAAATATTTGTTAATTAATTATTATTCTGGAACGCCTCATAAATTCAATATTTGTATATTATTATTATCATTATTATTATTATTAATTATTAAGCGCAACGCGCATACATTGTATGCCTTGTTGTTCTTCAATCAACTGTCGAATTGTACGATCGGTCTTCAATATACCTATCCAGGGGTGGATAGGCCCATAGAGAAAAGTGGATTTTCCCTGTGGGCCCTCGCCCTATATAATGTCGGGGGCCCCCTCGATTCCATTAATTTTTTCATGGAAATGAAATTATTTTTTTTTTTATAGTTTTATTATTTAAATTAAATTAGGATGAGTAAATATAATACATTTTATAAAAGCAATTTTTTTTTTTCATTTTGGTGGCCCCATTAAAATATTTCCCTGTAACAAAAAAACTACCTATCCATCTCTGTACCTATGCTGAAACCAAACGCGAGTCTTGGCGGTTAACTGCCACAGCTGTAAGAACCGCGGCGTTGACAAGATATTTTATTAATTATTTAAAAAAAATAAAATTAATTTTTTTTTTTTTTTATATATATATAAATAAAATGTTAGGTAAAGAATGAGACATCCTTAAATTGTTTTTCTAGGAAATTCTCTCTTTCACTTTAATTCAAACTAAAGATAAGAAGATTATTCTGGAATGCATTTTTCTAGTACTATAATATAGACCCCACAGATAATAATACCAAACTACGCCCATGCTAATGTGCAATGTATTAATATTGGTTTTAGTGTGTTAAATGATCCAAAAATAACTAATAATTTGAATTTTACGGAACTATTATTTCCACAAACAGTATGCTCAAAATAATGCCGTCGATCGTTATATACGTGCCAGATTCATAAAATCGTCAGTCATGCAATACGATAACGATAAGCGATATTATATTATTAGGTATTATTTAATGTAACATTATGGCCGTAATATATTTTACTGCGTTCATTCTTTTTCATCATTACAACCGCTACATTACGTTCTGTCTTAGTTATTTTCACTCTACATAGTATAATTTTTATTTGTGAGTTCGTGTTAAAAACGGTAAATACTCAATACTACGATCATCTACTGATAACTGGCTACTACATCAATTGGTATAAGTACGCTGCAGTTAGGACGGTTACAAACTGTGCCATGCCACCGGGTAGTCCGGTTCAATGTAATACTAAACGCATCATATGGTACGATCTAGGCTAATACAGACTGAACCTTACGGACCGGTTCATAAACGGTCCAAAATGTTTTAAGATCGGACCGAGAGTCTGGTCCACTGTCTAAAAATAATATGAAGACGTCGGTTCGGTCCAATTTTGGTCTTAGATTAACGTTTAAGTATGGTCCGGTCCGACTTCGGTCCCCTGGTAAAATTTGAAGTCCGGTCTGGTCCTTATAGTAACGGATCGTGCAGAACACTACTGTACACATAGTATCACAATAATAAAACGTGAGACTGCAAAAATATAATAAATAATCTCATTTTAACTTATAATTTATCTTAATGACAAAG